AAAATTTATTTTATTTCTCCCATGTCGATTCTAAGGTAAACCCGGGAGCTACTTATCGCGTGTCTTCTGCGGACGGGGTTTAAATTACGACCGCGGTTTTTAGGTCAACCGAGTATCCTCGAGAATATTTTCGAGAGAACTATTAACGCGACACGAAATAGATGAGGTAGGCGCGAGAAAATGGCTGCGGAAAGCCTCGAAAGTCATTTTAATTGAATACTCAGTTGGTCTCTGCCGTGACACGAAGGTAAAAATTGTTTCATTTCCAGTTATTCCGGTTCTCCAATCTATTTTCTCGTTCGATCCCTTTATTCATTTAGAGCAACTAACTTCACAATAGCACGTTTAAAGTGTTCTATCAGAGTAGATCTTTTTCATAACTCTTCGTAGACAATACGAATGATAGTATCGCGCACTTTGGGAAAAAAGTCACAGATCAAAAAAGAACATCTTTGAAAAACAAAATTGAAAAATTCGATTCGGATTTATAAAATCATAGACGGGATTTGATTCTATCAAGCGTTGAGGTTTAAAAAAAAACATAAACTAAATTATAAATAATAAATGTAAATAAAGATATAATATTTTAGTGTAATGTGTATAGGCGGCATGTTGTGCTAGCAACATATTGACCAAAATTAATTGATTTCTCAACTATGTTATTTTGCAGTATATCGATTCTTACAATAAATGATTTAAACCATTCAACATTTACCTTAAATGCTCCTTACAAGCAGTTTTCTAATTTTTATATGTGCCAATAAGTTTGATGAAGTGCGCTATGGATCATTAGCTCCTAATCTATAGAAGTTTTAAAAATGAAAGAAGTGTGTGTAATACAAAAATACGAAGTAGAAAAGACATGTCTTAGAAAGACTTATGAGAGAAATGTCGACTAATTAAATTCGAAATTCAAGGATATGTATGAAATTATATAAAACGTGCTGATAGCTTTCTGTCGAAAATTTTTTACTGATGTTTCAAAAATTCAAAGATCAAAGTTTGACATCAATTATAAACTGAATATCGCTTCTCTCCACTATATATATAAATTTTGGTAGTAAATTAGTCGGTTAGGATTAAAAAGTTACCTGCATACAAGCCGGAATCGTTAGAATTACTTTTAAATTGAATGCGTGGGTTTGAAAAAGTCCGCATAGTAGAGATAATTAAGTTGGTGCGAATCTAGATTGAAAAAAACTGGAATTTCGAGCTTGAAAATGGTAATCTACTCTAGCTTTCTCTTCCAATTAGGAATTACACAACTATGATATACTTTCTCAGAAACAAACAAGATGTTTACGTGTCAGATCAATTATCAAAGTTTTATTCAACGTTTACAGTATTCATTGAGTAATAATATATAACATAAACGCAAATAAAAAAAATGATATATATATATATTATAATGATATATATTATAA